GAAGTAGCTAACTGAGCAAGTGCACACAGCGACTTCGCCTGGATAAATCCTGCTTTATCAGTCTTGGCTTTTTTTTCCTATTTGAGAGACTCTTATAATGACATTTAATAAATTACTAAAAAAAAAAACTTTCCGCCGCCCAACTTTGCTGCTTCCGGGGTGAACATGCTAGTTTTTAGCCTGGTGGCTAAGCTAACCGGCTACTTCCACCATGGGAGCGTGTCACAGTTGCGTACTGGTCTACTCACCGAAGACTGAAGACATCTGCCAGAGGATCTGAAGAAGAAGCTTTTCCAGCAGCTCTCCACAGCTGTAACTATGTCCTCAGCTTTATCCCCGCCGAACAACGGTACCATCCCCTCCCCTGGACCGGGTCTTTCCCCGCCGTGGGCGATCCGATCCGCCGCTGGCTGCCACGGTCACGTCTGGGAGGAAAGCCGAAGACCAGAGTCTGGAGTCCTGGTCACGACAAGCGCTCTCCTTCCTGCTCCAAACCAGAAACCATCCCACTGGAGTGAGACCTCTTCAAACATGATCGCCTCCACCTAAATCCTGCAGGATCCCATCTCCCTATCTGTGAACACTGGACTTAGATTCACTCCTGCAAAGCATCGACAGCATGAAGGAGGAGAGGAAGTTGTTGGTTGCGCGTGACTTGGTGAAGGTACCCAAGGCGCAGTGTGCGTAATTACGCGTGCGGTTTTGTTGGCTGCAGCTGGTTGGTGTATCAGTGTTTTATAGGTGTTAATGGAAAATGTGGCACCATAAGACCCTGTTTTCAAACTTTCTTATTTAAAGTTCCTTTTGTTATGATGTTATGGTTGATTAGTTTGATTGTGGTGAGAGCAGAAAACTGATTTGCTTTCACACCTGGAACTGTGTCGATGCATCGCTGCTGAATGTGAGTGTATCTGAATCTTATACTTCAGGATTTACTGATTGATGTGGAATCAGTGTAAGAAATGAACGGTTTTCAATAGTTGGTAGCTTTGATAGTCTGACCAGTTTACTGTTTTGAAGATTTTCTCTGTAAAAAATTTAACTGTAAAAAGTTTTCAACCACTGTNCACAGTTAAAGACTGACTTTTAAAGATGGCATTTTTTTTTACAGTGCAGATGAAACACATAGAGACAGACACAACACACACTCACATACACAGCGTGGCCTTGTCTCTTTTGCACTGACTTCCTGTTTCTTCACAGTGTTATGACTGGGCACAGCAGCACCAAATATTCACACACACACACACACACACACGCACACACACACACACACACACACACGCACACTGCACCTGTCATAGTACCAAGAAGTTTCTCACATTATTGATTTTTTTCCTCCATTTGACAAACTGAGAGCAGAAGGAAAAGCTGGAAATCTGTGATCTTAACACACATTAACATGAATGAAATAAACAGGCGACAGTGGAAACGATTACTGAACACATAATCTGTAGAGAAGTGTTCAGGTCTCTAAATGCCTGTTTCACTGTTAATGCAAAATCTGCTGCTGGGATGATGGGATGTGACGGTGTCGCTCTCTGGAGGATGGAGCCTGAAGTGCTGGAGAGCAGAGAGGAGCAAAGAGCTCTAACCGCACACTGTGTCATTTTGTCTGTCTGTATGCAGTTGTGTGTTTGCAGAAGTTGTGCACTTCATTTTGCTGTTTCTGTTGTCTGAGTGAGCATTGTTGGTGATGTTTTGGGTCACATCTGAAAACAGTGGAAAATGTCTGTGTGTATGTACAATTGGAGAGTAAAAGCCTCAGAATGTGTGCATGTTGTGTGATGATGGCGCCCTCTGCAGGACTGACCCCAAACTGAGCTGCTAAAACTCAGGCGCTCTCTATTCCTGCTCTGCTCTGAGCAGACGGATGCATGCTGTTTTGTTGTTTGTATGTCTGTTAGAGCTTCAGGTGTACGAGAGAAAAGATGAGTCTGCATTTCCAAATGTCTACTGAATAGACGTCGTTTCGGACATCTCCATGCTCAATACTGACAAATCACACAGCAAGTGTGAGTGGAATTTAAAAGAACAAACACCTTTTTTACCTTTCTGTGTGAGGGAGAGACACATCCCACTGAAGTATTGAGCTATCTATACCACCAACATTTATTCATATTAAAGCACAGTTTGATACAGTGCATTTAGGTTGCCTCCATGTTGAAATGATTGTTTTAATTTGTGATTGTTTACCTCATAGTGCTTAAGTAGGCCTAAAAATGATCACAAATGAATGATCAGCAAATTGGTGCGTTCAGCCGGATGTTGGAAAGAGCTTTAACTGGAATATTTGATTGCTATTTGTTTGTTTGTTGGTTTGTTTGTTTGTTAGTAAGATAACTCAAAAAGTTATGAACGGATTTTCATGAAATTTTCAGGATCTGTTGATAATGGCATAATGAACAGATGATTCATTTTTGGTGATGTTCTGGCTTACCATCTGGTTATTTTCTCATAAAACAGCAAATATTGTTAAGTGTCACAGTCGTGCAGAATGCTGTCCTTAAGCCGTTTGTCCACTAATGGAGCTCTGACTCCATTCAGTCCTTACTGCTGTCTCCTCAGTAGTTCAGGAGGAAGCTGCAGCCGGGCAGCATTACAGGAGCGGGCTGAGCGGAGCTGCTGACAGATAAGTTCATAACCACGTTGTGACATCAACAATGACTCAACATGTCTCCTGTTTCACTCTAACCCTCTTTGCCATGTGTCATGACAAGTGATGGGTGCTTC